AACCCCCACTTCCCCTCATCCAATTTATGAGTTTTTAGGGATTTAAAAATCGGGGACGAACCCCAGAAAATAATTTATAGTTTTCCCGAAGCATTGAGAACAACACCTTTCAAATGAACCAACGCCCCTCGCAATTAGTACAGTGGTTGATTCACAATTTCATTCTATTTTTCAAATTAAATATTAAGATTCCAATAAATCTCAATTTCATCTCAATATTTTCATTACACTGTGCCACTTGGGTGCAAATACATATCTAAATAAGCGTTTGGGTACCACTCCGTCAGACGATTGGACCGATCAATACCACTGTGCTATGGAAATACACCCTTAAAACAAACACACATTCCACATACCACATTTTTTCACATTCAAAAGTTGTACAATGTCTTCAGATAAAACACGATTTTTGGAAAGCCTGTGGATATTTTCCTTCGAAATGTTTGAATAGGTTTACTTTCAACTAAATATAATTTCACGTCTCTGAAAATGTCAGCGAAAAATAATACAACTTTTCTTACAAAAAATATTTTACCGGGAGAAATTAGGCAAAATTTAAATACTTACACATATTATGACTATTTTGCTAGCACGGCAGTGTAGGTAGTCAAGAACATGCTGTAAAGTCCTCATAATATATCAAACTGACTCTTCTCGTCGGCGATAGCATAAAAATTGGACGTATTTTTATCAAGCGGAACTATGTGTATTAAGATATGAGCCCTGAGACCTATAAGAATACATGCATAACATGGCTCACGTCATAATGCACATAGTTCCGTTTGACAGAAATACGTCCAGTTGTCAATTGAAGCAAAACAGTTTCAAGTGATTGATGGTACTTCATATCGTGTCATAGCTTGTGTAATGATCTTGTAATTTGCAATTTTTATTCCTGATCTTTTAAAATTCCGTTGCTTCCATGGTTTCTGTTCTTATTGATTTTTTGTTTGTTTATTTTGTTGAGAGCAGCTTTGAGTAAGTTTTTTAATTTATCTAACTGCCTCAAGGGGCTCCTTCTTTTGCAAAAAATTGATTCTTTTTAAAGGAGGAAAAACAAAATATTGAACAAATTCTCACTTAATGAAAGCACTCGTGCTTCCTCGCTAGGTGCTTATTCTGTCCCAATCAGAAGCATACGTATTATTCAAATTTTGCGGTCACTCACAAAGGTAAGAGCCATGTATATAGAGAAGCTTATCTGCAACATTCCAAAATTTCACGTGACAACTTATTTTCTATTCATTAACGGATGACTTTTTCATATCAAAAATTGCAGAACTTTTTGAGGAAGACACTGAAAAAAAAGTTGCTCGCCTCAAGCATAATGATTCTTGAACTTGCCGCCAGGGAATGTTTTTATCTTGATTCAGGCTGAATTTGTAAAGGGACAGGAAAAAATGCTTGAGTTAAGCCAACAAGTAGATTAAATTAAGCAGCACCATTCTTAATTCGAGAACAAATATATATTGGCTGCAAATTTAAGTCTATTCCAGGGAAACCTGCAAACGCTTGCAGGAAAATGATTAAATTGCCAACTGAAACTTTACAAAGTGCAATGCAACGAAGCCCATATTTTTAGCTCTTTCACTCGCCCCTTCATGTGGTCATGAGACACAGCACCACAAAAGACGAAATTTTCTTTTAATTCAAGAGTATACAGGGTGATCCAAAAGTCCCTTCCACCCCCTCTAACATTTTACCTAATTGAGGTAAAGATTTGAAACTTGGGGGATATTCCTAGGTCAAAGGGAGCTACTTTTTGGCCCCCCTAAAATTTTTCGGGGGCCCCCCTTGGGGGAGCAACGGCCCCCAACTTTTAATTTTCAAATAGGAAGACCCCCTTTTGTGATAGCTCGTTCGAAAGAGCATAAAAAAAGAAAACTTTTCGCGCAAACCCGCGAAGTCAATATCTCAAACCGTTTCAAAATGGCGGCCGGTTAAAGTTCAAAATGGCCGAAAATTCACACCGGTTATTTTTCGATGGATTTGCGCGGAAATCGGTATGTAGGGGTATTTTGACACGAGAAAAACGAATTTGACGTTACATTTTCAAAAAAACCAAAATTTCGAAAATGGTCGCCGGTTTAAGTTCAAAATGACCAAAAATTGATTTTTTTAGAAATCTAAGTTTAAATTTGTTTATCTTATGCCAAAATACTCTCAAATTCCAAGTTTTAGGCAAATCCATTAGGAAAAAACCGAGGTGAAAATTTTCGGCCATTTTAAACTTTAACCTCTAACCTTTAACTTCAAATGGGAAGACCCCCTTTGTGATAGCTCGTTCGAAAGAACATAAAAAAAGAAAACTTTTCGCGCAAACCCGAAGTCAATATCTCAAACCGTTTCAAAATGGCGGCCGGTAAAAATTCAAAATGGCCGAAAATTCACACCGGTTATTTGTCGATGGATTTGCGCGGAAATCGGTATGTAGGGGTATTTTGACACGAGAAAAACGAATTTGACGTTACATTTTCAAAAAAACCAAAATTTCCAAAGTGGCCGCCGGTTAAAGTTTAAAATGGCCGAAAATTTTCACCTCGGTTTTTTCCTAATGGATTTGCCTAAAACTTGGAATTTGAGAGTATTTTGGCATAAGATAAACAAATTTAAACTTAGATTTCTAAAAAAATCAATTTTCGGTCATTTTGAACTTTAACTGGCGACCATTTTGGAAATTCCGGTTTTTTTGAAAATTTAACGTCAAATTCGTTTTTCTCGTGTCAAAATACCCCTACATACCGATTTCCGCGCAAATCCATCGACAAATAACCGGTGTGAATTTTCGGCCATTTTGAACTTTAACCGGCCGCCATTTTGAAACGGTTTGAGATATTGACTTCGAGTTTGCGCGAAAAGTTTTCTTTTTTTATGTTCTTTCGAACGAGCTATCACAAAGGGGGTCTTCCCATTTGAAAATTAAAAGTTGGGGGCCGTTGCCCCCCCAAGGGGGGCCCCGAAAAATTTTAGGGGGGCCAAAAAGTAGCTCCCTTTGACCTAGGAATATCCCCCAAGTTTCAAATCTTTACCTCAATTAGGTAAAAAGTTAGAGGGGGTGGAAGGGACTTTTGGATCACCCTGTATTTTGAACTTTTAACTTTTTTAGAGTAATTAGTGTGTATTGCCTGTTCTTGATGACACGAATTACAATTATACAGACATTGTAATTAAAATCGTACAGCAACAGTTAAATGTTAGTCTATAATTCATTTTTTTAAGGCACCAAGAAAAAGTCTTCATACTTGAATCGAGCATGGATTCACCCGGAGATCCTCTGCACCTGGTTCCATGGGAGAAGATGGAGGAACTTTCCAAAAAGTTACTCCCTCATGCACCTCATTCTCTTCATGTAAGTAAAATGAGTAATCAAGAGGAACACTCGGAAAATAGACTTGGGGGAAAAATTAAAAGAGGTCCTTTGCTTGTTGAGTTCAGGCGTCTTTAGACGTATACTGAAATCGCTCCGATTACCTGCATGTTCTTTTTGAGTTTTAATTTCATGAAGTTCGGCAAACCAGTCATATCTTTAAAATAAATCAATAAAAAAATAAAAATAAAAAATAAAAATAAAAATAAACCCACGTGCAGTCGTAAAAAAATTGTAAAGAAAGGATTTTGGTGCAATGGAGATGTTGCATGTGTGAGGAATTTGCGATTTGACTGTTGATTCTTAAGTAAAAGTTCGCGAGAAACACAATGGTGCCACTAGTTTTCTCTGAAATCAACTCCCAAGCTCAAAAAAAGCTCTCGAGTTGAGGCCAAAATGGAGGGGATATCCCACGCTATCCTGAGAGTCCACCTTTACTTCAAGACAAACTCTCCATGCAAAGATAGGGAGCAAATACATTGACAGGGCTGCCACTTCATTTGGGGACTCTAAAACTGAAAACACGGCTACCCTGCTGATGTATTTGCTCCCTATCTTTGCATGGAGAGTTTGTCTTGATGTAGACGTGGACTCTCAGGATAGCGTGGGATATCCCCTCCATTTTGGCTTCAACGAGAGCTTTTTTTGAGCTTGGGAGTTGATTTCAGAGAAAACCAGTGGCACCATCGTGTTTCTCGCGAACTTTTACATAAGAATCAACAGTCAAATCGCAAATCCCACACACATGCAACATCTCCGTTGTATGGAACATACGTTACTTGGGAACGCATGTGATAAGAAACGGAACCACGTGCACCGGGGCCCAGTATGGAAGGAAAAATATTGTATCTGCTCCCAGGCATCTCAATTTTAATCCTCTATCATTTTGCGCGGCTTCTCGTAGGTAGGTACATCATCATAAAACCAATATTCTCATGACAAAATACCCAAATTAGTCCTCTAAACATTTAGGCTCTCTTTAAAAAGGCCCAATTTGGATATGAATGATTTGCTTGAGGCTACCCTGAATAGTTTCGTTGCAGAAGGCTTAAAAAGCACATGTTCTTTCAGGTTTACGGTGCAATCAGGATGGCACTCAGATGGAGAGGAACTGAAGCTTCGCGACGGATCACCATATACTCTACTAACGATCGATTTGAAGATGGAGGAATTGTTGCAATTTACAAAGTTACGGTTAGTCACCTTTCATTTAATCCTAATGAAGAATTTTGCAACTGTCAATGACCAACTTACTTTCCTTTGATCTCACGCAATCGAAAAAGAAGCTCATAAACCGCGGAGCGCGTTTGCATGAATAGTGAATTTGTGAATAGTGAATAGTGAATTCTGTATGAATGTTTCCCCTCCTCCACTAATCTAGATTTAGTGATTTTATCAAAATTTGAAATAATAATGAGTGGAGGGACTCATGAATTTATTTGTAAAAATGGGCTCACTTTGTGTAAATGAAATGAAATCATTCAAATTACGAAACTCAGCTCTGAGTGATGGGAACTGCATCTTGAAAAATATTTAAAATTTTGAAATAAAATTAAACTCAATGAACGAATTCACGGTTTGCGATGAGTTGCATCGCTGCACTGCATCTCAGTAAACGTACATTTTCTGAGTACTAGTACTTGATTCCCTGAGATACTGCAGTTTTTTTCTTCTTAATCTTAAAAGTTAAATCTACCAAGAAATTTCGGGCGGCCGGCGGGTATACTTTTGCGAAGGGCGCGGGGCATAGTATCTGCCGGCGCATCGCTTTAAACGTGGTTCGGAAAAATCACCCGCGTCCCGGAATTTCGTTTTCCCAAATTTTCCTGACTCAAAAACGGGAATAGTGACTGTGCTAATTAGCCAGATAGTATAGGAGATCGTCAGGGGGCAGGGTCCCTCGTCATTTTTGATTTGTGAGCATATTTAAATACATTATAAATAAATGTACACTATGGTCAAGGCGGATAAAGAATGGTGGTCGCATTTCGATTTTGGCTGCCATCTTGAAGCACTGTGACGTCATGACGCCGACCCTCCTGCAGGAGGGTACGGCTTTTGCCATGAAATTCGAGGTTGAGCCGACTCCCCCGGCCTCGGCCGGCCCACCCGATGTACCCGATACCGTGTGACGTACAGAGGGTACGAAATGCGACCACCATTCTTTATCCGCCTTGCACTATGGTAACCCGAGAACATAGAATAAAATTTAACAAGAAAAGGTGGGGACGAGGCTGAAAAAACACAATAATTATTACAAAAAGGGGGATATTTCGAGCGGTCTTTTTTTTATTAATATATTTTAAATTTAAATCTTTTAAAAGTGATAATGGCTGCCATTACCAGGGACCAGTAACATTGTTTATCAGCTTTGTCTTTTTAGATTTTTTAATTCTTTTTCGACGGTAAATAATGACCGGGAGACCGTTCGGAACGTCCCGTGTTTTGTAATAATTATTGTGTTTTTTCAGCCTTGTCCCCGCCTTTTCTTGTCCAATTTTTTTTAAATACATACCTAAATATCTCCCATTTTGAACTCTAAAAAATCATGTCAACGTTTGGGTTTGTGTAAACTAAATTACTGTTTTTGTCTAGAATTCCAATGATATCAGAATAACTTTCCACTGCTTCAAAGAGAATGTGACTTCTCTAAAGAACGCATTACTTACAACTGGCAGAATTGATTGGAACTCACCAGAGACTAGTATATTTTTTATTTCAATACCCGAAAAACTGATGTCGCTTACGAAGGACTTGATAGCTCATCGCAATTTTAAATTTTTGACTTCGAATCATTCAAACTTGATTTATGAGTGGAAAACCATCGATCAACTTGATTCGTGTAGCAGTTCGTAAGTAATATTCAAAAATTTTTCTCCATGTAATCCTTGATTTATAAGAGAGGTGGTATTATTCTTACAAAAATCAGGGCCGTATCTAAAGCCGTTCCGTTTTTTTCTTTTTGGAGACCCAATACGGCTTACATTAAGATTAAAGGGCGTTAAAGGAGGTCTTTAATGTGAAGTCATCAGAGAAATAACAATTGTACTGGTCCAAGGCAGGGCCAGGTTTACATTTTTAGTGCCCTAAGCTTCCCTGTATTAGGTGCTCCAAAAGTAGGAGCTTTATGAGGAGGGGAGGGGGTGGAGGAGTCCTGGTCCTCCTCCTATCCCGTGGAAAAGGACGATGACAGGTGTGTCCTTACACTTCACACCTGTATCGATATCTTACGGTAGAAATGTTTCAATCCAAAGCATTTTTCAGGTACCAATTTTGAAAATACTGACGACACCAGAAAAAAACTGATTTGAAAAATAAAAAGTGACAGAAGACACGATGAATACATTTTCGATTCGAAATAACTGAAGTTTTGGAATAGATTTTCAAAAATTTATCCGAGGAGTTTTGCGCTTGCGCCCCTAGGCTACAGCCTATGCAGCCTAATTAGAAATCCGGCCCTCAGTTCTTTGCGCTTAGTCAGACCAGCTGTTCGCCTTCAAAAATTAGAAAGGCAATTTTAGTGTCTTTGGGACAGTAATGGTTGCTAGTAACGATATGAGCATGCTCATTCGGTTCTAGCAGGAAGAGAGCATGGAATTTCGCTATTCACAGCGTTTTGTGCGCCTGAGGTCACCGGTTCGCCTTCAAAAATTTGACAGGCAATGTGAGCGTCTCCGGAGCAGTAATAGTTGCTTTCACCAGTTTGAGCATGTTCATTCGGTTCCGGCAGGAGGATGGCATGAAGTTTCTTTTATCACAGTGCTTTCATGGCCGTATTTGCATTTTTAGCGCCGCAGGTTAAACGCGATTGGCGCCCCCACAAGGAGGCGCTATTGCCAAAATACCAATGGATCGTACTTGATAGTGGTTTGATGTATCGTCCGGTTCAAAACAATAGAGCATAACTTCAAACAAAAATGTTACAATTCAAGTTGGAAAAGCTGAAAATGAGAAAATTTCTAAGAATTTTACTTTTCATTACTATGTGGATTACATTTTGCAATAAGGCACCTGGCACTTAGGCACTCACAGTAACAGTTGGTCAAAACAGCAACTGAATAAGCGTGAATTTCGCGCAGGGATTTTTAACAGTGTATCACAAAAAACCCGTTCCCTTAGATTTCGAAATTGACTTTTGAGGCTATGATCACATTTTGGACCAATCGACATCGATACAATCTCACCTGTGATGTATTGACTACGATTTATGGAGGGTCTCTCCTCGTCTCTGATTTTTTTCATTAATTGAGGAATTTGGAGGACAAGGCGCATAAGTGCAGTCTTTGTTATTTCGAGAAATACGTGTTTGAAGTTTCGAAATTACGTGGATTCTTATGGCGGAAAAAAGTTCAAACCGACTTTTTGATGATTAAAAATTGGAATTTGGGGGGCGAATTTTTCACAGCATATGAATTAGGACTAGCTTTACTTGATTTCATTAATATCTCAATTTTTTTAAAAACTGCACGTATGCGCCTTATCCTCCAAGCCCCTAAATAGAGAATTTGCAGGTGTCTGAAATTTGATGAATTTCAAGTTTAAGTGGAAACTACTGAGTGAACTGAACACAAGGATACCCTTGGTTCGTGAATTGAACAATTATTGGAGAAGGTATGACAAAATGATCTAATCCACTAAAATACATATGTTCAAATGGGAAATACCGCTAGATGTCGTCACTAGGTGGTGCATTTTCTCACTTTTAAATTTATTTTTATACTATTTCCCATCGCAGAAAATTTTTTTAAGAAATACTGCAAAATCAGCTCTTTTGGCACTTTCACGTGAAGCAATAAAAAACTTGCGTGCAAATTCTCCATTAATTTGAAGATTAATAATGTATTTCGTAGGTGCCCACAGGACGTCCGACTTGCACCTTTGAGCCTCGAGTCCGTAGATTTGATCATGAATTGTTGGGGTGTCGGCGGTGATCTTCCAGGAGCGGATGAGTACATTGCAACCCTCATCACCCACAACCCTAACCTAGGGGTCTACTCGCGCTCCACCGGGGAACTTCGTGCTTTCGTGTTGTTCAGCGAATTTTCCCTCTTGACCATTCTTTACACGATGGAGGAGCATCGCCGGAAAGGATACGCACAGCTTTTATGCAATGCGATGTGTGAGAAGTTGCTTCCCCTGGGATTCATCGTGGGAGCAACGATCGTGAGGGCCAATACAGCATCATTGGCATTATTCGAGTCACTTGGATTTCAATCGAGTCCTAATATTTTTGTAAACGTTCTCGCGGCACCACTATCGATGGACGAACCTCTTGCAGGGCCAATAAAACCAAGAAATCCTCGTCCTTTTATGTCTAAAATTTCCAAAAAGTAAAGAATTTTGTAAAGATGCTGAGAGTCCCCGAGGACTGCCGTCTGGCAGTGGCCGGTCCATGGGGGAGGGCCGGAGGGGGGCATGATGCACGGAGAAAAAAATCTCGTGCGTGGGACCCGAAGTTTAGGTCATATGGATCTCTGAAGTTTTCAGATTGAGCATCTGAACACTTAGATCTAGCTGTCGAGGTTCGGATCACACATCTGAAACTTCAGTTCTTACATCTGAAATAGGTACTTCAGATGTGAGAACCGAAATTTTTCGGATGTGAAAACCGAAGTACTTCAGATGTAAGAACTGAAGTTTCAGATGTGTGATCCGAACCTCGACAACCAGATCTAAAGTGTTCAGATGTTCAATCCGAAAACTTCAGAGATCCATATGATCTAAAGTTCGGGTCCCACGCACGAAGTTTTTTTCTCCGTGTGGCATGGTTCTCTCTCTCAGGCCAAAAAAGGAAAAAAGATTAAATAAGGGGGGAAAAGTTCTCCTGAAACTTTGATGAAATGGTTTTAGGACCGAACTTTAACCAAATTTTGATTCCTCTCCTATTGCATGAGGGAGGGGAAAGCCGAGAGTGGCATCTAACTTTGAAGTTTTCCACTTTTCTGAGCTTCCGTATCTCACTCCACCCTCGTGATTTTGGTTTGGTTCGCCTCTGATTAAAGTACAGGTAGTAGGACAGGAGTAGAAGAGAACATACCTTGTCGCAAATTTTATACGGCTCAACTTTCAAAAATGATCAACGTGAATAACTACGGTTGGGCGGGACCACTCGGAATTTTTGCGGGGGTGTTCTCTTCCACATTTCCAATCAACAAGCTCACGTTCAGGATAGCCGGGAAACTTACAGTTAGTCAGTCCTAACCTAATTTCGGGATGATTGATTGCACTTGTTCTTTTAAACCTGTGCTGCTGGTGCCCGAGAAGTACTATTTGCTGTCAGTAATCTATTCTGTAAATTTTTTGGTGGTGAAAAATACAGACCATTTCAAAGAAATCATTTTCGTGCATGTTTATGTTTTAACCCAGGTTCGGTCTAGCGCCAAAATTTCGGGTTTGCAATTTCAATGTGAGGGCTCTCGTGGGAGGCAGTGGCGTGGCGTGCTTTGCGATATATTGATTGATCTGTCATTTAAACCCATGGAAAAAGATCGATTAATAGGGTGTTTGCAGCGAACACCTTCATAATCGATTCTTTACCACGGATTCAAATGAGGAAATATCGATAATCGATCATTCACGCCACGCCACTGGTGGGAGGGGTGGGGGGAACTCTTCTACCATCGGGGAGTTCGGGGCTTCTTCTTGAAATAAAGTGGAATCCGATTCCCTATTTCATGCATAACTCAGGTATTTCAGCGCAGACTTTGACATCTGTAGATTTAAAATTTACAGAAAGCCACTGAACTTACTTCTGAGTACCCACAAAGATTATGTCCTCTCCCACCGAAAGATGTTCTCTTCATATTGAGAAACGTAAAAAGTCATTTGACAACTACTGTATACTGAATAACTAGAAAATTGTCAACTGCACACATGTGAGCTCTACCTCCCTTTAGATCTCCTTGATGTAATGTTCTTGGTTAAATGTACTAGTAATGTTCATTTTCCATCGTTTTTTTCACTTGTGATCAATTTATGTATTGACAAGGAGGCTTCCGCCCCCTGGCCGCTACGCGGTCCAACCCTCAGGGTGCTTCTCACTCTTCTTACATCCCTTCCTCACCCCGTCAATCATTGAGCGTCTTGAAAATGATTCTATTACCCGAGCGTCCATCGAACATCTTAAAAATAATTTTATTAAAATTATATGTATTAATTTATTTATTTATTTACTTGAGGGATTATTTCAGATCGATTCCTACCCCCCATTAAACCCTGATTCAGAAAGAATGGTGAGTTTTTAAGAGAGAAATCAGTGCGCGGCAACAAATTCATACGTAAGTAGTTGTATTTTTTTAATTGCAGAAAAGAGAGAAAGAAATGAGAATGGACTTTATTTTTTCTTTTATACGATCTATTTTGTATTATGCACCTAGATAGCGTTTCAAATGAGCTCAATTATTTCATTGAATCACTCCAATTCCACACTTAACTGCGTTACGCAGATCGAAGATTAATAATCTTATATAAAGTGAAGTATAAAATGGAACCGTTGATTTCATTTAAAAGAAAATATAATCAAAAGTTAAAAAACGATAATAAAAATATTAAAAATCTAAAACAAGAAAATAAAAGTTTTCAAACATGCAGAAAGAAAGTCCACCTTTGAGCCGGTCAGGAACACGGAATCTTCAACTCCTATTGTAGAATTTTGAAAGAAGGTAGAAAAAAAAGGTCATCGTAATATCTTTTGCTATACGGTGCTGGAAACATACCATATGAACAAGGTATACGTTGCGGAAGGATGGGCTCTAACTTTGGTCAAAATTCAAAACAGCTCAGATTAATGTCATGCGTCTATTGAATCCAATTCATCTCACAAGAAAGCAAGCATGTTAAGTTCATTACCATAAGTTGCTCCCTTCGTCAATAAAATTTTTAATCCATTTCAGATGTTGATTATGCGTAGATATATAAACGTGCGCTTCGGTGCCGCTTAGTCGACTAATTAGACGGGAAAGTTCAGACTGATCGCAAAATGACATTCTTTACTGCCGTACTATAGAAAAATGCCTTATTCGAACGTTGCAAAATTTTTCCTGATGCAAAACGAACTCCCTGCAAAAGTTATACATATTTTTCTTCGACATTGTCAAAGAAAATTACTCATAATTTAAGATTGCGGGTCTGAACATTTCGATCGAAGACAAACAATAGTTAACTCTCTCACATAGAAGAATATAGAATCTCTCAAGAATAGTTCATTGGGAAAAATTAGACAACATACGAATACACATAAGCCTTACTTACTTATCATGGCAATTTGGGGAATTAAGAACATGCTGGGTATAATCCTTATATTATCGGACCCATTCTTCTCTTTGGAGATAGCGTAAAAATTCATCGATTGAAATTAAACAGCCTCGAGGGATCGATGGTTCCCTTTATCGTGCCATGTGGTGATGGTTTTTTTCTCATGACTTCAAAATTTCGTTGCTCTCATTTCTCCTATTTTTGTCAATCTTTTTTGGCGAATACACGGTTCAGTAAGTATTTAAATTCATCGTATTGCCTCAAAGGGCACCCAGCTCTCTGTCTCTCTACAGATATATAATTATGTTAAAAAGATAGGAAAAAAATTATCGTGGAAGTTCTCATTAGATTGAAGCATTCCTACTCTCCCGCCAGGTAGACATCCAGCTCCAATCAAAAGTATATAGTAACACCTATCAAATCATGTTGTCATTTGATAGAAAGGGGTGAGGTCTGAAGGGGCTGCCTTGCGTTGAACTGACCAAAAATTCCACCGGATCATACTTAATTTTTATTCATTACTTAACGGAAGAATGTTTTACATTCACGATTTCAGAGGGTTTCAAAAGAAACTCTGGAAGCACTCTTAAGGAAATTATTGAATTGCCAAGTGAAACTTTGCAGTGAAGCCATTCCAGCTCTCACCCCTTTGGCCATAAAGTGAATAGCATCATAATAATTAAGACGAATATTGAAAAATCTAGGATGCACTTGAAAAATAGACTTGGAAAACAAGTACAAAACACCATATTCAACCCTTTTTCAGTCGAAGAGTCAGACTCTTTTTTAAGAGGGACCTTGAATACGACTAGTTTGCTTGACGCTAGCGCAAGTGGAACTGCATTTTCCCCAATGGAAATACTATTTTTGGCTCATGACGACCTGTGAGACATTACATAGTTTCCCTACGCAAATAGCTGATTTTATGGATGAGTTGGATACAGCCTTGAATTTCTTATTTCAAAATGTAGTTCGGTTAGACCATTCTCAAATAGTCGGCTCCGTAGAGTTTGGAGCCTAATCTCAAAGAGAAAATGACTAAATTTTAAGGTCCAAGTTTCAAGAAGAATACGACTGAAATTATGTGAGGTGAAAGCTGCTCTGTTCCTCTGATGACTATGAATAGTAAACTCTCGAAGCATGTGTGCACTTTGTACATACTGTTAATGTAATCCATTACGTGCATATCTCCCTCTATTTAATGAGTATAAGAATACTTTTTTTTACATTCATTACATTTTTATGCGTACTTTTTCTTCAAGTTATCTGTTCTTTATGTGCAGCCGTAAGTGTCGAAAGTTTTAAACAAGTAATTTGGAGCCATATTTGATTAATCAAAAATGTCACTCTTGAAAGAGCCTTTACAACCACTTTCATGGTCAAAGTTGGAGAAACTTTTGGAAATATTACGACTAGACATGCCCGATGCCCTCACGGTAAGTACCGGGTACAGATTATAGATCATAAATAAAGAAAGAAATAATAAGTTTAGAGATGAGTGATAAGAGAAGTGACAGGGATAGAGGTGTATATGTCGCAGGCAGTTAGCAATCGCCGGCAATTTACAAGCCAATGGTGAATAAATATAGAAAACAATATAATTCAACAATAAAAGAACAAGATTAGCGTGCAGATTATGTTGCCTATAATGTGAATAGACACTTTGTTCATCCTTGAAAACATGGCAGAAATATGCAAACTCAGAGGAGCGTGCTTTGAACTCCGTGACATTAGTCGGGTTGAGATCGGACAGGCAACTAAACTAACATCCAGACAAAGCGTAGAGTATCAAAAAAAATGAAGGCGCTTCAATCCGAGCTCATACTCTTAGGTCCCCATAAAAATTGTATTATGCCAATGCGCATTATTGCGATTTATTGAAACAACATGTGAATCGCTTGCAAATTGCCGACGATTGCTAATTGCCTGCGACATATACACAATTACACATACGCTAAGCGTTCGGGTTTCTGTGTATGGAGACTTCTTTTGGATTTCTTTCGTAAGGTGCGAAAGCTCAATTTACATTTCTTAATAATCTCGTGCTCAAGTACGCAAATACGATAAGATAAAACAGCCTCGATGCTCAATTTCCTGCCAGCCCGGGGTTTTTTGGGTGGTATGTTCTAGCCTACCTCAAAATTGTAGACGAAAGTGTAATGCGCACAATACCTCGTCTTTACACGCTGTAAGCTTTGACTCTAAACGCCATAACTACCTCCTTACACAGACATACTCTGCCGTGCTAAGGAAGGACGCCGTATGAACATCCGAGGGTTGCCAAATTTCCCTCGATAAGATGTTAATTTTTGAGAAAAATTATGAATATTTTTCCTTAAAATTTTCAGACGTTTTAGATCAAATTACAAACAAAATTATCTGAGAAATCGGAAGACAAATATTCAAAAAATTTTCTGAAAATTAGTGATTTGCGAGGGGAAAAGTGGCAACACCTGAAGGCTCATACGACGTTTTTCCTTAGGAAGGCAGTACTGTCCATGGATGTAACGAGTGTAGGAGTGAGGAGCCGTTGCAATCGACGCTCGAAGCTACGACTCCGACACTCGAAACTTTTGCCCCGTGAATCCGGAATGTACATAAATTCCATAAAGCTCGTAATTACGACTTTCAGAGCGGGAAAATTTTTTTCACTCCACCCTCCTCGTGTCAATTCTGCCTCCTCCAATATATTCAGTCAGAAAACTTGATGGGGACCAAATTATTTGTTGACATAGCCTGACTGCAGCTTCAATTTCAAATACTATTCTC